ATGAGCCCTGAGACCCTTAAACCCTTTAATTAATTTATGCACAACAGGGCTGACGTCATAATGCACATAGTTCCGTTTGGCAGAAATGAGCCCAAATAGTTAATTAGTCAGCTAACGATCAGATATATCGTGACACTGGGAATTGTAAAAATACTGGTGGGACACGCTCCCTCACCACTTCGCGGTCCAACCCCCCCCCCCCCCCCCCCCCCCCCCCCCCCCCCCCCCCCCCCNGCCTCGAGCTTTATGCGTTACGCGTTATGCGTTACTCTCATGTATCATACTGTAAGGAGAGTTTTCCGCGTCTTTTTCCATTATTAAGGTTATTCGGGTTTAGGTTCCCAGCGAACACCCTGTTTGTCGATCCTTCTCCATAGGTTTAAATGGCATAACAATCGATATATCGCAAATCACGCCACGCCACTGGAAATTACTGCAACCTACGCAGTTATGAGTAACCTAGGATTCAGCCTACGCACTATGACGTTGCGCGTTCGCAGTAATTTTCACCAAAAAATAGTGCGTTAGCAGTAATTTTCTAAAACTTCGCCGTCTCTGCAGTATTTTTTTTAAAAAATTCAACATTCAAGTAGTAATATTCCGAAAAAAATTGACACTTACCCGGTAACTTCCTCAAAAATTCAACGCTTTCACACTGATTTAGTAAAAATCAGTGCGGTCGCACTAATTTCTACAAAAGATCAACAACCTTGCCGTGAGTCTTTGTAAAAATCAGTGAGTTGGGCTTTCACATCAAAGAGTAAAAAAGACGTGACCGATTTTTTGTTTTTAAAAGAAACTATTTTCTTATTTGTGTAAAAGAACCGAGCGTTCATTTAACCGAACCTCTTTGATCATCATTCTCTCATCACTTCTTCCAACCACATGAGTTCGGTTACACGAACCGGACGTTTGGTTACAAGAGCTGAAAGTTGGGTTAAACGAATCGAATAGTTGGGCTGGTAAAGAGCACCGTATTCTCCATCATTTTGTGAATATGCATTTTTACCTACTGGAGGTCTAAATAGTCGTATCACACAATCCGCCCCATCCAACTTTTCTACTCCTGCGTCAAAGTTTCTGAGTCAGCCAATAAGAGATTCTCCTCCATTTTGTGGACATTTTACCTACTTAGAAGTGGCAATGTTTGTATCTCGCGTTTTGCCCCATCCAACTTTTCTATTCCTGCGTTAAAGTCTCCGAGTCAGCCTCGAAAAATTCTCCTTCATTTTGTGGATATGCAAGTTTACCTATTTGGAAGACTGAATTGATGTATCACGCGTTCCACCTCATCCAACTACTCTATAATGCGTTACAATCCCCGAATTAGCGGAATAGAGATCAAAATCTGTTTTCATTTTTGTGGATATGCGAGAAATTTTTGTTCCTTCATAATCGTGACCGGATCTGTGAAAAGAGATCGTCTTTCAGAAGAACGTTTCGGAGACTTCGAACTTCGGGCAAAAGTCAATCGCGGGAAGCGCCTGCAAAACCTAGGGGATACTTCAAGCACCGCACAATCTCTACCCAATCTCCAGTCTCACTCTCGGCACTCGACTTGCGAATCGCGCTGAGGTCCAATCCGAGATGCTCTCGCTGTTTGGAAATGAGCGGGCAGCACGCGTGAACAACTTAGGAGAAGATGTACGCAAAAATGGAGCGCATTTTTTTTTAAAAAAAAGGAATGGATTGTATTCGATACATCAAACAGGTGAGATTCTACCGCTATCGATTGGTTCGTTATGTTAACATAGCCTCAAAAGTCAAAGTAATCTGAGGGAAACGGCTTCTTGTGATAGATTTTTTATTCTCATGAGTATAAAATGGCGATGAAAAGTAAAATTGATAGGAATTTTCTCTTTTTCAGCTTTCCCTACTTGAATCCTAAACTTTTCGTTTGAGGTTATGTTCTATTGTTTTGTACCAAACGATACATCGAACTACTATCGAATCCGATCTAATGATTTTACATCATCCATTATTCAAAGTCACAGCATGCGCAATTTTCCCACTGCCTGTACAGTTCGCGATCGACCTTTGGTTAGATCGGTCATTGGTTTGTGAACATTCTGCATACCTTGGGGGGGGGGGGGTATTAAAAGGGGACCTAATTTCGAATAACCTCTTGTGAAGGAAAATAAAGGGACGCTAGAAATGGTCGTGGGGAAGGGAATTCCTTTCAAATTCTAACCATCGGATCGTAGATAAGAGCATACTTCATTCATTATTTTAGACTGTTGCAAGGTTGAGTTTGCAGCAAACTGATTATCTCGGATCCCTCATTCTGACAATTTGAATCTAAATTCTGAATGTTCGATGCATAATTACCGTTACATCGAAATTACACTCTGATCGTTTGATTCGGTCCCGAAATTTCATTTTAGCATATCCGCCGCCTTGGATTTTTAAAATGTATAAATTTGACCGTTATTTTAGATAGCCCGCAAAGAAAAACCCTACCCCCTAACCCATTTTAAAGTAGAAAACGAAACGATTTAAGCGTTGAAGATACAACGATTTAGAAAGTAATAACAAACATACCCTTGTGCTATACAGTGGATTTTAAATAGCCCGTCATTCTGGCGTGTGGCCATGCACACATTTTTTTTCGCCATTTAAAGACCTCAAAATGAACCGTGTCCTCGAAAGAACTTGCGTATCTTATTTAATTTCCTTCAGAGTTCGACGTTGAAGATATTTGGAAATATGTAGGGGGCTAAAATTGTTCTATAATAAAAGAATCGGTATTTGACACCTCATTGGTGAGTTGGTGCGCTATTGAAACGCAGCCAACACTAATGTTTTAGAGTTCTAGTGGCAGTTTGAAAGCAAAAGGTGCCTGCTGTCAGCAAGTCCTTAAAATGTAAAAGAGAACAGAAGTAGTGAGATGAAATTAAGTTAAAAGTACGTTCGGTATAAAATACCGTCTAAAGTAACCTAGCACAATAAAATATACGCTTACGCTAAAAACTTAAAAACTAAACATAAAATAAAAAACGCTTACTGATTAGAACTGCCCGACGGTAAATAGAACTGGGGAAAGAAAAGAAGAGAAAAATGTCACAATCAAAAATTGCACCACTCAACAGATATTTACATGCTAACCAATGGGCCAACTGATAATTGGTCCATACACACTGATGTGATTTTTGTCTCTTCTTTCATTTCCCCAGTTCTAGCAGCTACGCCTAGTGCAGTCAGGTATCCAGTTGCGATTCTTGAAAGTTGACTGTTTTCCCTCAGTTTAAATCCATTATATACAATATCGATACAATCGATATTGTATCGATTCTTTTACATACATTTCATTGGACAATACACAGTGGTGCTATCAACCAGTGGCGAGACATCAATGATCGATTATCGATATGTCCCCATCTGAAGCTCTGGTAAAGAATCGATTGACAAAGTGTTCGTTGCGAACACCCTTTTATCGATCCTTTTTAATAGGTTTAAACGGTAGATCGATCGATATATCGCAAAGCACGCCACGCCACTGCTATCAACTTGCAAAAATCGCAACTTGGTCCCCGACTGCATGAGGCGTCTATGATTGATCGAGTTCCTGTAGAACGTCCTGTTAATATACAGGGTGATCCAAAAGTCTCGCGCCACTAGAACCCTGTATTTTTTTAACAAATTGAGGTGGAGACTTAAGATTTACATCTTATCCGTGCTCAGATCAAAGTAAACAACTTTCGAGAATCCCCAAATTTTTAAAGGAGCAACAACCCTGAGGATTATAGGGGCGTTGGGAGACTTTTGAATCCTCCTGTATTCTGCCTCATCGGATTTCATTTTGAGACAGCCTTAATTCCCGTTGCTTCAATCGGATTATTATCACGACAACCAGAATGGGCCAGTAGACAAGGTCTTATCTAGAGAAAAACGTTACACTTTTCTTTTCCAAATTTTACGAAAACAACAATTCGTCACCTTCCAGGCAAAGTATCACAAGCGCCATGCGACGTTTAAAAATTTCCGCCGCCATTATATTTTTTTACAGAGAAATTGTTCAACGAAGCTGTCCGAAAATTACACCGAATTTTCTTTGTGCTGCCGATAAAATTTAGTGAAATTTTCGAACAGATTCAACCAACAATTTCTCAGTAAAAAAATAAAATGGCGGCGGAAATTTTTAAACGTCGCATTCGCATGGCGCTTGTGATACTTTGCCTGGAAGGTGACGAATTCACATTACGAGCAAAGTTCGGAGATCAACTCCTGAACCATTTATTAACAAGTATTTTTAACACGGATAAAACGGAAGTTAGGTTGTACAAATGGACGTATTTCTATCAAAGGGAACCATGTGCATTATGACGTGAGCCTTGTTATGTATGGATCCTTGTTGTGGAGCCTTGCTCTTATGGATCTCAGGGCTCATGTCATAATGCACATAGTTCCCTTTGATAGAAATACGTCCAAATGACGCCGCTCGACCGGGAAAATGACAACAATACGATATCAGTAGCGATTTTGCAAGTAGGCACTACAGTTGGATTGCATTTTGCAAAAAGGAACCAAGAGCATTCCAATGTTGCTCAGATTGTGCCATTCCTTTTAACTCGCAAGTATAAACTGATCATCCAAACAAGTTTATGTTACTCCCAATAAACTATAATATCAAGATGAAAATTACTCTGTAGATTTGATTTTCTGCAGGCTTCCAATAATTTTATTGCAAGGAATGCAAGTTGCACAACCTTAGCAACATTGGATTGCTCTTGGTTCCTTTTTGCAAAATGCACTCCAGTTTATATTCCATGAATCCATTGAAGATATCGATTTTAGGTGCGGCAAGCTGCCCCGTCAAGAATTGATCATTTTCATATATTTAGGTATATGAAGGCAAAACAGTGTTGCCAATTTTCAAAAATCGCCACCGCGTCTTGAAGGAACTCCGGGTAAATTTTCTAAGTGTGTTACAAGCTTAAATTAAAGGAACTGAACAAATGAAAGAGGGACTGACCTATTTTTCCGCTAGCGCGAAATTTTCGTTAGAACTGTGTAAATTTCCTACTTCTTATCTGCTGCTGCGGACTCCTCTGCGGACTACTCTGCGGACTACTCTGCGGACTACTCTGCGGAATGCCGGTTTGCATCTTAACCACTAAAGTGGTAGTATTATCTTCCGCATATCCATTGACAGCTGTCTCAGATGCACTTTTAGCTCCAAAGTATGGTTCAGTGAGCTTTGGCCGGAGAAAATCGCAAACGTCTTCCCGTTTCCAAAAGTGCTCGAACAGTCCATCCGATGAAAGTACAAGAAAGTCCCCTTTTTTGAGGTCATATTGTAAAACGTCTGGTGTAGCGATCAATATTCCATTCTTTTTCCCTAATAACACACGGAAAACAAGCTTGTTTAGATATGTATCTTGAAAGACAGAAAAAATCATGAAATATCTAAGAAATGTCATTAAGGAGTTGATTTCAGACTACAACTTGGGAATTCGTAGTTCTCATGAAAATGCTTTCCACAAATCTCTGTAAAAAAAATTTTCTCATTATTGGTGCTCAAGATAAAAATAGAGTAAAAAATATTTTAGAGAGCCCATTGTTAAATGCTATTTTAAAATAAGAATAAAAATATTTGATGATTGTTACTCTATATTTTTCTAGAAAAAAATTGATGAGACCTTGTAGAGCTCTTATTTGAAATTTTGAAATTTAATTTTAAAACTTAGACTCTCTTTTAATGACTTCCCTGGTTTTACAAATAAATTGAAAAATGATGTAGAAACTTTTTAAAAATGCACAAATGGCATAACTAATCCCCATCCATGACTAATCCCCTTATACATTGTCATGTTTGTCATACCCTTAGTCATGCTTGAGATGTTTTAATTTGTCGTCCGTTTTTAAGGCACGCCTCTCTAACATTTCATTGTTTTCATAAATATTTGTTAAGCGTTATTATGCTTTCAGGGGTTTTACCGGTTTTTAATGAGCTGTCTCCCAAAGCTCTTGACACCGCGAGACCTCCGTTTATTCGGGGCGCATCACTTTCCGGTGCAGTAACTCTTCCACCATATCTTTCAATTCTTGTTTTCTCTTTTCCCTGGAAACAGCAAAGCAAATCATGAACAAAAATCAGGGAGGATAAAGACGTCCATTTTGTAGGCGGAACGCGTAAAGCTCAAACTTGGACGTGCCGAACGGAACGAGATAAGTATCAGTGCCGTGGCGTGCTTTGCGACATATCGATCGATCTACCATTTAAACCTATTGGAGAAAAATCGATAGACAGGGTGTTCGCAACAAACACCTAAATAATCGATTCTTTACCACAGCTTTAAATGGGGAAATATCGATGATCGATCATTCAGGCCACGCCACTGATAGGTGTTGAAAAGATGGGGTATGCTCGTGCTAGTGGTGCTGCTGCACACGAAACAATCAGTGGCGTGGCGTGAATTGCGATCGATCGATTGTTATGCCATTTAAACCTTTGGTAAAGAATCGATTATTAAAGTGTTCGCTGCGAGCACCCTGTTTATCGATCCTTTTCCACAGTTTTAAATGGCATAACAATAGATAAATCGCAATTCACGCCACGCCACTGGAAACAATTTAAAGGTGAGCGTGATTCCTTTTGGGGAATGGGTCACTAAACCTTGTTCAATTTATTTAATATTCTGAAAGTGCTAGGTGAGGAGATAATGTGGTGATTTCTCCGCATTTTTATGGAGCCGAAATCGCGGAGAAAATCGCTGTTTAAAAATCTAAGAACTACATGCAAGCCATTTCAAACGCACCCAAATGGCGGGAAACTGTCGATGGTGATGTACTGCGGTAGTCAAATCGCAATCTTCTCTCATTTTCTTCTGATAAGTGTTAAAATAAAACGTCTTTCTTTGTGGAATTATTGCTTGTCTACTGGAGATAACATAAATGAGATTCGATTCTTTAATTCTAAAGATATAAGTTCGACTTTAGTATTGTTCTCACATACGAGGAGTAAATGGACATTTGACGGAAGTCGTAGAAACCCGTGCTCGCTTAATCTGATTAGTGCCGGATGACATCATTCGGCTCGGCGCAAAACCGGAGCGTTTTAAATTTGCTGATAAATTGCGCGATTTAAACTGCGTATTTCTCGGTTATTGAGGTACTTTTTCGCGTTTCCGATGTGCGCATCGTGTTCTACGCGTCATTTACCTTCAGACTAATGTATTCGCAAGTCAAAATTCGTTCATAGTTCAGTGACCCATTGTAGAATCGGGTAACGGAACTAAACGCCAACTATATGCTTACTCATGAGCCATGGGCATGTGGCAAGAGCGTTGCGGACAGGGCTCATGAGTTAATGATTCACCCAACGACCACGGATGGCCGCGTCGCCGCTGACGTCACAGTTGCTTTCTAATTCCAATTCATTCTTTCGGCCCAGAACCAACGAGCACGCCCCTTCTTTTTAACCTGTTCCTGGTTCCATTTGACAGAGATACATCCACGTAAGCTGCCGTGCTAAGGAAAAACGCCGTATGAACCTCCAGGCGTTGCCAAATTGTCTTTGATAAAACACGAATTCCCTTGTAAACTCATGAATATTTTTCTTCCAATTTTTCAGAGAATTTTGTTCGTATTTTGATCTAAAGTTCCTGAAAATTTCAAGGAAAAATATGTATAATTTTCCTCGAGAAGAAGCATTTTATAAAAAAAAAATTGGCAACTCTCGAATGTTCATACGGCGTTTTTCCTTAGCATGGTAGTATGAGGGAAGGGTATTCACTATTCAGGAGAGCTGCCAAAAGTCAGGATGATTTGGATTCTAAAATTCCCTGACTTTTCAGCGTGCTTGAGCATGAATTCCCTAAATCCATCAATTTGCATTTTTCTCCCCGTGTATTGCGCGATGAGAATTCTGCATTCTTCACAAAACTGCTAATCACAAATTTTACTTAGCGCGAGGCTCCTGAAAATGGAAAATCAAAAATTCAAGTACAAAAAAATTAAAAATTCGGTACGCTCAACTCAATTTGAAATATATCACTGAGATTTTTACGGATTTTTTTTTTATTTTACTTCATTCAACATTCTGTAATCCATCCAAAAGCTGACCTGTTGGTTGACCACTAGACAAGGTTGAACTAGATAAAAACTGAACATGTTACCTTTTCATTATCTGACGTAGAAAACAATTCACCCGACGGCAGGTTTATTAGAAATCGACTCCTGAACGAGATATGAGCAAGTATCGTTAACACAGATTAAATGGAAGTCATAGATTAATCGAATGACGTTATTTGTATTTTAGCCATTTGACCAGTGGCGTGGCGTGCTTTGCGATATATCGATTGATCGACCATTTAAACCTATGGAAAAGTATCGATAGACAGGGTGTTCGCAGCGAACACCTTTATAATCGATTATTTACCACAGCTTCAAATGGGGAAATATCGATAGATCACAAAGCACGCCACGCCACTGATTTGACCATTGTCATTTGTAAGCACTCTTTTCGTGTTAATTAGTTAACTTCTGAACTTCCTGTTGCGTGATCCACAATAATTGCATTTTTTAAATTATTGCATTCATATGCGTACTAGTTTGTTTTGTATCGAAAGGATTGAGGGTTCTGTTGCCATAGTCATTTTCCTGTAGTTGTCTAAGTACGAGGGACCCTTTAGAACGCCCCAAAACTATGAATTTCAAAACGGCACTTCTCGGCGGGTACGGGTCCTGAAAAGCGGACTCATTACGGTAGCACTTACGGACGCCACGTCATGGCGCGTTGTAATGACCAATCTGGCCTCTTCATAACCCTCCATGTCTTTTTCCATGAGGAACTAAAAGTCAATTTTACGATGCAAATATCGAAGCAACTCGATAATAAAAAAAAAAACTGTGTGAGAATACTTAATTTAAGAGGATCAGCTGCTTGGAACCCCCAAATCACGATAAATGCTGCCAAGATATTCTCCGCTGCAGAACAATTCAGAAAGTCAATTAACTTGATACGGTCTCATGGGCGGAAATAGAGGGCAGCCTGCCCCCCCCCCTCAGATGCCTATTCGATCCCTCCCAAGAGTGTCTACAGATTTTTCTAAGTAAGAGCGTTACTTTTCTTTTATCTTCTAAATAATAACTTTTTGGTGGGAACAGCTCACCATAATATTTTATTTTTTGGGGGGGGGAAGGGGGGGCTGAAACCCCCCTCTGGTGCTGGGGAAATCCCTCAAACACTGCTTTGGAGCCCTGAGAGTCCCGCGAAGGCTCCTCAGTGGAGTGTCTTTTATTGCCCCTTTGGGGACCTCCCTTTATGAGCTACCCCTTTGGGGACCTCCCTTTATGAGCTGCCCCTCTGCTCCACCAAAAGCTCCTGGTTTCGCCCATGTATCAGTGGCGTGGCGTGCTTTGCGATACATCGATTGATCTGCCATTTAAACAGATGGAAAAATATCGATAAACAGGGTGTTCGCAGCGAACGCCTTAATAATCGATTCTCTTCCATAGCTTCAAATGGGAAAGTATCGATAATCGATCATTCACGCCTCGCCACTGCCATGTGTGGTCTTAAAATTTAACTTCCTAGACCTGAAAGTTGCTCCTCTGAGCAGAAGATACTCGCATCTACATAAATATTTGATCTTATAGTATTAAATTTACCTTTAAAGTATTTTTCGAGAACAATTATTGGGATCTCCCCTAGTACGAGACCAGACCTTAGCCCCTCGTTAACTCTACGTAAAAGAAAAATTAAATGAGTCCCAGAGCCAGTGGCGAGGCGTGAAAGATCGATTATCGACATATCCCCATTTAAACGTATGATAAAGAATCGATTACGAAGGTGTTCGTTGCGAACACCCTGTCAATCGATGCTTTTCCATAGGTTTAAATGGCAGATCAATCGATATATCGCAAAGCAGGCCACGCCACTGCCCTGAACAACTCATAGGCACTTACCAAATCAGGTTTATGATCCTCCGAAAGCTTTATTACTTGTCCGCCGGAAGTACACACGAAAGCTCGAGAATCCCCTACATTTGCCACATACAACCGCGATCCATCCATCACTGCAATTATTGCAGTGCTGCCTAAAGGGAGACATTTTTACTTTAAATAAAGAGAGATGAAACGGTGAAATATGAAAATGTCCTGTTCAAAACGTCTAACAAGAAATGTCCATCACGACAATGTCCTCTTTAAAATGTCCAATTTACACGGAGAAAAAAACTTCGTGCGTGGGATCCGAAGTTGAGGTCATATGGATCGCTGAAGTTTTCGGATCACATATCTGAAAACTTGAGGTCCAGCTGCCGAAGTTCGGGTCAGACATCTGAAGTACTTCGATATAGACCGAAAGGTTCAGGTCACACATCTGAAGCACTCCGGCACATGCCGAAGTGTCTCGATGTCTGACCCGAACTTCGGCAGCTCGACCTCAAGTTTTCGGATGCGTGATCAGAAAACTTCAGAGATCCATATGACCTCAACTTCGGGTCCCACGCACGAAGTTTTGATTTTCTCTGTATCCCGTTGCTGGTCCTATGAACTGCCAAATATTAACTGAGGTGAGCTCAAACAATTTTTTTGGAAAATACTGTGGAATCCATCAACAACATTTTTACCTTCTCCGTCATTTATGATTTTACCCATACCCCCTTCGGGACATTTAACATCCTAAGGTTTTTAGATTCCTGGACAAAATCCACTACCGGGCATTTCTCTTCATAAACATTTACTTACTATGTGCCAAAGTGCATTAAACATGTTAGAGCGGACATTGTTGCAAGGACATTTCTTGTTGGAAATTTTGTTTGGACACTTAAAATAGGACATTTCCACTGAGTTGAATGTTGCACCGATGAAACATGCAAACCAATTAATCAATTACACGCGTTTGTAGCATAGTGTTTCAATTAAGTATCTTGACCAGCGCATTGGAACCTAATTTGTTTAAACATGCAATGTTCAAGAATAACAGTAGATTAAGCGTATAAATTTTATTAAGTGGATGCCCCCTGATGGCTCTGCGATCCAACCCCCCGAGGAATTTCGCTGCTTTCGTGTATGCGGGTTTCCAAAAACAATAAGATATCATGGTGTTCTCATAATGTTCATTACAGAGTTTAGAAATAGGAAACAGACAATTGTAAAGAAGGAATGAAAAATGAAGCAAATTTAAAAAGTAAACTAAAAACAAATAAAATAAGAGATTTGAAATTAAATATTAAATACTTTTTTGCATTCAGAGTGATAAAGGGATGAAGGGTGCAGGGCGTTGGTTTGTATGGAAGGAGCAGCGAGTTGCTCAGGCGTCATGTGTTACGCATTACTCTCATAATTTGATGTTCCCAGAGCAAGATCGGGCGAAAAAACGGGTCGGCCGAAATAACAGTTTCAGTATGGCGTGCTCTATAATGGTATGAATAACTTTTTGGGGTCTGTTCTATTAGAAGCTTTTTAAAAATGAGTTTTGCTATCATCTACATAAAATGTTGTAACACCAAGAAGAAAAAGAGACAAAACGCATATATCAACGAAAGCTGTGAAATGAACGAACCCTGTTGTCTCTTTTTTTTTCTTGTTTTTTTTTTGGAATTGTAATTTTTCCAACCAATATACAATGACAAAGTCGGATGATGCTAGATAATCAATTACTCTCTCGCAAAATAGTCGTTGATATCCCCCAACACAGATACTAGTTCGTTCAATTATTACGTAAGGCATGGTGAAACCACGCTTCTCCATGTCATTTCCGCTCCTATTTTACGTTTTTGAGGAGAAATAAGCCAACTTTTTAGTTCAAAATTCACGCAGAATATTTTGAGGATAGAATAGAAAAGTAAAGGACACTATCAAAGATATACGTCGCCTATAGCCTTTCAAAGAAAAAATTAGATTATGACGGGAAGTCTGCAACATCGCAAACGGAGGCACGTAGCAGTTCGGAGGGTACGGAGGTTGCGCACTTTGGGCATCGAAGTGCCATATGTCACCTGCTGAATTGAAAATACAAAACGATTTCAAGGCGGCGTGCTAGGCATGCGTTTCAAAAATTCGGCACATGCTTACTGTCCATCTATAGCGTGGCAAAAGTCTTCATTTCTGTATGGCTTAAGTTGAAAAAAGTTCAGGAAAGATTTAATCCCTCCAATCGTATTATTTTCTTTTTAAAAGACCATCTAACAGTTTTTCTGGAAATGTTGGATATTTCTCAGGTAAGGAGAGTAATGGATGCTCGTAATTTAAAATTGTTGTAACAAAGATACTCTTTTTTCGAATTTAGCTGTTAGTACATGTTAAAAGATAAATTTGACATAAAAAGAGGTACATTAAAATAATTTTGAGTTACCCGGATCTTCTATTCCTTGTGGCTGCTTCTGCCCCTGTATCCGAATCTCTCCCAGCATGTACCCCTGCCTCGCCTGCTGCTGCTGCAGCTGCCATCGCTGCACCGCCAGCTGCTGGCGCTGCTCCGCACAGTAGTTGTAATCCATTTCTTCAATTATATTCACGAAGATCGATTTATAGTTAATTCCTTTTCGCACCACCACAGAAGAAAAATCAATTAAAATTATGCCGCAAAAGCGCTCGATCAGCACGACGATGAAACTACCGGACCACGTACTCGTTTTCGGTGTTTAAGAATCTCCGGTTCCTTTCTATTTTTTCGAAGGAGGACAAATTAATATTATTCCTTGATGTTTTCACAGCATTTTCATCGCAAAGAGAAGAAAAATCACGGAACATTTCCAGAATGGAGATGTTGCATGTGTGAGGAATTTGCGATTCGACTATTGATTCTTATGTAAAAGTTTGCGAGAAACAACTGATTTCTCACTGATTGTCACTGATTGTCTCACTGATTTTCTTTGAAATCAACTCCCAAGCTCAAAAAACCCTCTCAAAGTTGAGGTCAAAATGGAGGGGATATCCCACGCTATCCTGAGAGTCCATCTCTACACCAAGACAAACTCTCCATGCAAAGATAGGGAGCAAATACATTAGCAGTGTTGCCGTGTTTTCAGTTTTAGAGTCCCCAAATAAAGTGGCAGCCCTGTCAATTTTGCTCCCTATCTTTGCATGGAGAGTTTGTCTTGATGTAGAGGTGGACTCTTAGGATAGCGTGGGATATCCCCTCCATTTTCGCCTCAACTTGAGAGCTTTTTTTGAGCTTGGGAGTTGATTTCAGGGAAAACCAGTGGCGCTATCGTGTTTCTCGCGAACTTTTACAAAAGAACCAACGGTCAAATCGCAAATTCCTCACACATGCAACATCTCCATTGACGATGAGTAGTTTTCTATGTAAAAATCAAGAATGACAGGAAGTCTGCGACGTCGTCGTAAACCGAGATACGTGGTCTGGTAGTTTCACCATCGAGTAGTATTTAGTGGAAACGACAAGCAAATCCATCCTAAGGTTTCAATCTGAGATCAAAATTGCCCGGCCTGGAAAAATGCAATGACCTTTAAACCGTCAAAGTGTTTGGATGACACTCATGATTATGAGCAGGCCCGCCACAAAGGGGGGGGGGGATACTGGGTCCCTGGTACCGGGGCCCGGGCTCCGGAGGGGGCCCGTGTTACCCGTGAAAAACCACTACGAATTCACATGCAACCATAGTTTCGTAAGAAAAAGTGAAAAAGTTACCCTAAAAATTTCGCAGAAGGTGAATCGATTTTCAGAAACACGTTGGGGCACTGTAGAATTCTTCTTAAATTCTCAAAGAAGTATACTTCCTAGAAGATGTCTATCTATTCTCAAGATTTTCAGTACAGAGGGATATTTTTAGTAACTGCGTTTCATTTTCTTCCGTCGTCAGATGCTAGGAGTCTCCAGTCTGGGAATCCTCGACTCTAATGGCTCATGGCTCAACTTCCTTGCCATAGACAAACGGAGGGGGAGTCCAGGGGGATCTGGCCCTCTTAGATCTGAAAAAAGTATCATATGCCCCCCCCCCCCAAAAAAAAAAAAAAAAAAAAA